AACTATATCTATCTTATCGAAAATTTCCTCTGCAGACTCATCTGGGCTTGTTACAGTAGCCATATTGTTTATAAACTCTGTTCCTTATATTTGTTCTTCTCTATTAAGATGAATTTCATTAAATAATAATATTCCTTTATTAGCCAACAGGCATAGCCCAAAAAAGGATAACAATATATATTCAATAATGTAATAATACAATAATATGTATCTGTATGTGAGAAAAAAAACAAAAATTACAAAAATTCAAGAATTTGACAATTGACCAAATTATAAAGACAATAAAAATAAAAACTAAATAAGTGAATTTACATGCAGGTGATCACTGACTGACTGGAATCCTGTTGCCTACCTTACAGAGAGTGTATGATGGCGCCTATCTCATAATGTTTGTAGTGGCAAAAGGAATGATGAATACGCAGCTATATCTTGGAACAACAAACCCTAGTCGCTCAAGAATGAAAGGGCAATCGATGTTATATTCGATAAGCTTTTGTAGAAACTTTTCATAAAACGCGTTTTTTCTGTCCGTCAAGGAAACCATATTGTGTCGCGCAAGCAAATCATTTTGTGGTATACCTCGCTCAGGGTAAATTTCATCAGATTTGTAAGAAAGAAATTTTAAGAATCTACGATGCACTCGATCAAGGCTTAAGAACTCACACGCATATAAGGGTGTTTATCTATATTAAGGTTAAGTTTGTAGGTCATTATTGTGTTTAACTTGTGCTGTAGCTTATCTGCATCTGCCACCGATGAGACTTCGGTAAAGATCTTGATATCATCTGCATACCCCAAAATCCGACAATCAATTTTAGTCATTTATGAAAAGAACAAATAATAGAGGGCCCAAATTTGATCCCTATGGAACCCCTGAGGTAAGAGTGAACTCATTAGAAAAATATCCATTGTAAGCAATTTAACATTTTCTATGTTGCAAATAAGAGGCCAGAAGTTGAATTGCTGAAGGGACAAATCCGAAAGAGCTCAATTTATGCAAGAGAATTCTATTATCAATCAGATCAATGGCTTTGGATAGATCGGTGTATCGCGATATATCATCAGAAGATATATCGGGAGGAATGTAGAGCAGTATGATTAAAATGGACTTGTCATTAATAAGACACCTACAAATTACTAAATATATCATAGTTTTAAAATTTAGACTTAAAAATATTTGCAGCAACATGGATTGGATTTATTGCCATTTACTTTCTCTTAACTAAAAAGTTTTTTACTTCCCTTTCCTCTTGGTTAAGCAAAGCGCTTGAGGAATGATGATATAATTAAAGAAGAGACGATAATTAATGAATTACATGGAATTATTGACAAAGTTTTCGAAATTCTATCAATATCAATTAACATTCATGTTGACATCGATACTAGAACAGCTGAAATTTCATCAATGATTATTTGATATAGGCAGACAGATTTATTGACTAATTTAACACGATTAGTGCGATTAAATATTAAAAAGGTTAGTGAAAATCACCTACAATTCAGATAGCCCGCACAATGTTAAATTTATCAATTCACAGAACTGGAGTATTTGTGATTTCCTGTTTTGTGTGATTTGTTTGCGGTATGATTTATTTAATGTGATGTAAATGATGCTTATTTATTGACTTTACGTGATTATGTCCTTTTTTCGTTTTTTAACATTGAAATATTGGTTTTCGTTTTATGTCAATTCCATTTTGTGTACATAATGACATTAAGGTAATAGTGCCTTTAGGATTGATTAGTATTGTGCTTAACTTGGTCGTTATTACCGGTATCGATTGGTCCCTTTGACCAATAGGACGTATATACGTTGCTACCCATTGATTAATTGTTGACTTAGACATAGATATTCCATTGATTTTCCATTAGTGCTTAGTTTTGTTTGATATTAAATCCACGTTATTTTGTTGAATTGACATACGAGAAATGTCTGTGCCTTGCTGGTGGCAACTACGTCCAAAAATAGTTTAAGACATGCTCTTACATTTTTGTTTTTATGCGTTTTCTTTTCAAAACGGTACTTAGTTTTACGGACACGTAGTTACCTTCGTAGACAACCATGAATCTCATTTCAATTTCCTTCTCCTTTAATATCAGACAATGAAAGAGATATGATTTCCCAGTATCTATACCTGAAGATTTTTCTCGAACTTGATCAAAGCCAATATAGCACTATATAAGTAATTATGGCTGCATGGGAAGAATGTCTCCACAGTATCAGCACTTAGAAATCATTGCATGCTTACATTTTGCCTCATTTATATATGCAGGCGTTAAGATAGACGTTGTTTTCGTTTCGTCATTCTTTTTGTTGTAAGAAGCCTCAATGGTTCTATTCACTATAAGTGCATCTCTTTGGTTTACATCTTCCATCTACTAGATCTGAACGGTTCTACCCTGTAGATTTTTGTTTCGAAAATGGGTACACTCTCTTTAAATACATTATAAAATCGCAAACATTTGTCGCAAAGTTATTGTCGATGGTTCCAACATTTGGTCTTGAAATCAAATTTTCACAATTAACTCTAATCTAATATTCGATTCATACATTTGCAATTTTTTACATCGTACTTATGCAGGTTTAACGTTGCGTGATAAGTCCTTTAACCTAAAATATCAACTGTTTCGTTGAATGTCTTTTAAATATTCCAACTTTTAATATATGCAACAGCTCCTTAAGTAGATTATGTTGAATTACAAATCGTGGAATTAGTATATTTATTTTCTTAAGTTCGTTGTACAGTGTAAGCCAGGTCCTAATACCGTCCGGTATCAAATTGTCGCCCTAATCCAATTTATAAAGCCACAGCTTTTATAAAATATTTTAAATTAAATTTCTACAATTTCAAGATAAGAAATTCCTGAAATAACCTTTAAATATCCAATAATGAATCATGTGTTATTAAGAAAAATTAATACTCAAAATATGCCTCAGAGAAATATTATATTAGTATGTATCCACAAATATAGTCGCAATATGAAACTCTGGGTTATAATTGAATGTTCACATCTCGGTGTGTCATAACTATGAATTACAACTAGCTGTACCTCAATTAACATTTCGCATTGCACTACTAACTCCTGTACCCGACTATAATTAATTAATTAATTACGGGAAAAAGATAGTTATGCTGAAAGCTTGGGTGCGTTATTAAACCACGCTATTAATAACGTAGGAAGCTTAGAAGTTTATTTCTAAAAATAAGTGTAAAGTTAAGTCCGTACCATAACAACTAATAGGAAAATCCGCGTTTTGCCCTTGTTTTCTCTAACAAGAACTGCGGTGGCAAAGTTCGCGATTCTCAGAGTGCGATCTAAATCCCAAGTAAGGCAAGCGAAAGCATAAATTACAGCATAGTCGCGAACTATAAGCGTTATTCGAAACAAAAAAAATATATAGGACGAAACTCCTCTGCACACTGTTTACCCAAAGGTAATAAAATAGCGCTCGCTTAGTTCATTAAGTAATTTAAGAAAGAGCACGTCCCGACATGGTTATGGCATTAAAGCGTTAGCGCATCTACAAGACGGTGTAATATTACTATAAAAATCCTGCAGTTTTTTTTTTGTAAGTTCTCAAATTTTACACCACAATATATCTAGGAACTAACACCGGAGGTCAATTTACTTCATATGCTCTAGTTACTAGTTAAACTTGATGATCTGCAGGAATACACCATCAGTCTTAATTTAACGCGAGAATGTCTCGGAAAAACCAATTGATTGATGCATTTTTGATAAAAGTTTTAAAATTCAATTTTTTAATTTGTAAATTTTTTTAAATGAATTTTATTCAAGATTCATTTTGTTATGACGTAACATCCCAATTATTTAAAATGTTTTTATTAATTTAATGTATTAAAAGACGGTTTGAAGCTTTACCTTTTTAATCAGTTTAAGTAGATCGTCGTGACTAGATTTTAATCTGAATTTACTTGAAACAATTTTTTTGCATTGATACCATATTGATACAAAACTTGATTACTTTTCAAGGATGGCAGCTTTGTGAAGCCGAGGTCACTTGCGACCAAGGCGCTGCATAATCAGAAAAACTAAATGAGAAATATATCTTAAGAAATCGATTTTTTACAAATTTTGGATTCAAAAATTAATTTCTCTAAAACTAAAGGCTTTATTTCAAAACGAATTTTTTGTTAAAATGAAAACAGCTTTCTTAATATATAGTGAAAATTTCACAACAATTTACAACGAAATGAATTAATTATGCTTTTTTAAAAATAATCAAGTAAAATTGACTATAGAATACAAATATATAAATAGAATTGCTGTGTCTTCTTTTTTTACACTTGATCTTTAAAAGTGATGCGATTCGCTGAAAATTAATTTCCAGAAACGTGACTGTAAATATTTCCTGGGGGAAACATATTTCCGCCTTGGGGATTTAAATGGGGCGGTGACGACGCGCGTAAGGTCAAGGGAAAGCTTTAACATTAATCAATCCCTCTAGATATTCGAGATAATGTATCAGATGGAATGCATCACATCCGTGATTGGGAATTAATTATTCAACACAATTTCTCAATTTTCACAATTAATTTAGAAAAAAATAATAATAACAACAAAACTAACTAAAGCTTATCTTCAAATTTTGTATTAATCGGGGAGTCACTGCTTACTTTGCTGTCAATTACACATAGCTGTTATCTTGCTTCGCAAATAAAACGCAAATTTGCTTTATCGATTAATAATTAATGCGCCATTTGACGTCTGGCGGTTATATTTCACGCCTATCTTTATCCAATATATCCATTTTAACGGTATCTATGAGTACTGTTGATTTTAAGGTCTCGAATGATATTAAGGTAGATAGATCATTATTTATTGCGATCGTGTAGTAATATGATGGCATCTACATTATGTGGAACCGCTCATCAATCACAATTATCAACCGAACGCTAGACATGACTAATGGATCATTACTGATTCTGGTTGCGTATCAATTAGTTTTGTAGTTTGGGGTTTTCAAAAATAGAAACAATGATTAAAATGGAATTTATTGAATTAAATCCAGCGAGTACTTCCAATGTTATTTACATGATTAAAATATTTCGGTTTCGATTTTAGTGATTGGCCTTTATCCCTTGGTTTTTATGTTTTATAACTTGAATGTTTACTACTTTTTTGCTACCACGGTTGCTATTACTGTTGGGCACTATAAAAGAAAAAAAATTATTTAATTATTATTTACTATTAATTTAGAGAATTGTACTGGCTACGTTAAGTTCTTTTTCTTCAAGATATGAATCAGTTCTCTTTAAACTCTTATCCAATCTTGAAGCTGTAACTCTAATCTCGTTCTTTAACATAGCGTAGTCACTCCTCAATCCAGCTATTGCGGATTCTAACACTGAAAATTTAGTGCCAAATCTTGATATTGTTGCGTTTTGCTCTTTTAATAAGGTGGATTGCTTATCGAGAATTTGAACCACACCATTGATCTTGTTTACAATGATCATGTATTTATCATTGGTACTAGTACTGGAATTAGGTGAAATTTTGTTCTTTGACGACATTTTTAATAGAAATTTAAGATGATCATGAGGGTGACAAGTAATTTCTGTCTATTTTAATATATCACTATGGTTACTAATATGTGAGTGGATGAAGGGTTAATAGATTCTGGAGGTTTAAGAGAATTATTGATTTATTTTTGAGTCATCCGAAACTTGGGGATGAATCATCCTAGATGAAGACGTAAAGTCTGGGATGAAGCCGTTAAAATGATTGAAAATACAGTGAACCGGAAGTTTAAATCAATAATTTTTTTTATTTTTGTTTAAAGGAGACATTTAGATGAGTTAAAATAAGTGTACTATAAAAATATCTCTTGGACATCGTCTTGGGGAAGGTTATGGCGTGTGTTGTTTTGCTTTGGACATTCCTATATTCGTTTGAAAACTAGAAGTATTTTTAAAATTCTCTCTTTTCATTGAATGATAATTTCATAATGATTCATTGAAATTCCAATTTATTATTAACCTGAAAAATGAGAAAAGATGTCTTATAATGGTTAAAGATTAATATCTCAAAAAATAAAACGTATTTTAAAAATCCGTTTTCTTCATTGGAAAGCTTATAATTTGTAGCATAAATTCTGATAATTTCGCCAAAATGTATTAGAAGTACGATTTATTACAATTTTTTGAAAATGATTGAATATAATTGTTTATAACGAGAAATGAGAAAATGCCTTATTACGATTAAAAATAAATATCTCAAAAACTAAAAGATATTTTGGAAATCCGTTTGTTTCGTTGGAAAGCTTGTAATTTTTATAATTAGTGCTGATAATTTCATAATGATTCATTGAAATTCCAATTTATTATGATTTTTTAAAAATGACTGACAATAGTTGTTTATCCCGAAAAATGAGTGAATGTCTCGGGATGTTAAATAATTAATATCTCTAAAATTAAAAGAAATTTTTAAAATCCGTTTCTTCCATTGGAAAGCTTATAATTGGTAGTGCAAATTCTGATAATTTCGCCAGAATTTATTAGAAGTACGATATATTACAATTTTATGAAAATGATTGAAAATAATTGTTTACCACGAAAAATGAGAAAATGCCTTATTACGTTTAAAAATAAATATCTCAAAAACTAAAAGATATTTTGGAAATCCGTTTTTTTCGTTGGAAAGTTTGTAATTTGTATAATAAGTGCTGGTAATTTCATAATGATTCATTGAAATTCCAATTTATTATGATTTTTTAAAAATGACTGACAATATAGTTGTTTAACCCGAAAAATGAGTAAATGTCACGCGATGTTAAATAATTAATATCTCTAAAATTAAAAGATATTTTTAAAATCCGTTTCTTCCATTGGAAAGCTTATAATTTATAGTGCAAATTCTGATAATTTCACTAGAATTTATTAGAAGTACGATATATTACAATTTTTTGAAAATGATTGAAAATAATTGTTTACCACGAAAAATGAGAAAATGCCTTATTACGTTTAAAAATTAATATCTCAAAAACTAAAAGATATTTTGAAAATCCGTTTCTTTCATTGAAAAGCTTATAATTTTTACAACAAGTTTTCAGAATTTTGTAATGATTTATTGTAATTCCAATTTATTATTATTTATTGAAAATGAGTGAAAATAGTTGCTTGTCCCGAAAAATGAGAAAATTTAAGAAATAATATCTCAAAAGCTAGATAATATTTTGAAAGTGCGTTTCTTTCATTGGAAAGTTTTAATTTGTAGTTCAAATGCTGATGAGGAAGAAAATGCCGACGAACTTCCAGAGATATTAGGTGAAATGACGATGAAATACGTAAAAAAGATTAAAAATAGGTAAACACCCGGGCTAAATAACATACCAAATAAGCTATTGAAATATGGAGGACAATTAATGGCAGAACTTTCAAATCACGTCAATAAAATATTATTAACCAAAGAAGTCCCTGATGAATTGAAAAAAAGATTTCTCACACGACAGCTGCAAAACCTAACGGTAGGCAAATACAGCTTCGAGCGTGTGCAACAATTCGTATATTTGGGCTCATTGATAAATTCAGAAAAAAATAGCAGTGCAGATGTTAAGAGAAGGATACACCTAGCAAATAGAGCGTATTATGGTCTGATAAGACACTTAAGATCGGACGGTCTATCAAGAGCTATAAAGCCAACTGTACAGGACTCTAATATGACTGGTCCTGGTGTATGGCTTTGAGACGTCACAGAGGACTTTTGAGAGGAAAATACTGCGCCATACATATATGGAAGTGTTGGAAAATGAGAGTGGCGCAGAAGATATAACTTTGAGCTGTACTCAGCATACAGAGAGCATGATGTTGTTGTCTTTATAAAGATCAGGAATCTACGCTAGATGGGACACGTCCAAAGAATGAAAAACAATGATCCCTCAAGAGAATATCAAAACAAAATTTCGTCGGAACAAGGCATAGGGAGCGACACAACCCAAGACATATACGAGAACGACACCAAAACCCTTGGTATCGTCAATTGAAGAAAGATATCTTGTAACAGATCGGAATGGCGAAAGATGCTGGAACAGGCCAAGATACACAGGGGATTATCGGGCCATTGATGATGATGAAGTAACAGACTAAGCAAATAGTGCTACCCGAATATCAGGTGCAGTTTGGGACGTCATCTGGAATAACACCTAAATAGATAAAAGAGCAAAAGTAAGAATATAGAAAACCTGTGTTAGACTCATACCAACATACACTATACAAATAAGAGCAGACAGCAAAGAAACGAAACCAGAAACATTTCAGGGTACCTACTAAGACACACAGAAAGAAACACAGTTATAATACATGAATATGAGGTGGAAGACATAATCAGATGAGGACGTCAACGTAGAAGAGCTTGGAATGATGATGTGGGGAGAATTACCGGAGAGAGATAAGCAAAAATTGCGTGAGATGGCAGATCATGGACACGACGACGTTTGGGAAGATCTCCAAAGAGATAAATTATGGCCACCAATATCAAAAATTCAGGAAGAGTGGTCAAGTAGTTTTTAAGATATCGTGCCCAACAGCTGTAAAAACATAATTTTCATAAAATCGCGCACTAATTGAAAAGTTTAGAATAACACAAACTGATTTTTTTTGCAATTTTCAATGACGTATCAAATAATTTACAACTCCAGTGCCATATAATAAAAGTTCCGTTTTTTCATAAATTAAATTTTCCATCGCTAACTTTTCTTTCCGTGCTTTTCAAGCTTTTCTGAACATGGACTCATAGAATTACATAGATTTTCGAATTCTTAAAACGTTTAACAACATTTCAATGAAAAAAAAAAACATGTTTTGAGTTTATTGAAATAAATTTAAGGTGAGAACTTAAATTCGAGCGTTACATTAACTCGGCGAATTCGTAAACTTTGGAAGGTTTAGTGTGCCGTGTACGGTTTAACATGTTAACAAACGGTTCCTCACGTGTAATTTTAGTGCGGAGTTATTATTAACCGATAAATTCCGAATTAACACCTGATATAAAAGAAACATATACGGGCCGGCCCAGGTTTTTAATTATTTACTAAAACCGCGCATAGTTTGATATTGTTTGGGCCGCTTTTGAGTGATTTACTTCCGAGCGAGACTTTAAATTTTAAGTGAAAAGGTAAAGGGCTACGAAATGTGATGGGTTAATGTTAAGTCCGCTCCCAAAAAACCGTTATAAATAAACATAAATCGATACTCCCAGTGACCTTCACTATTTCGTTAACACAACAAACATATCTGAAACGTCGATTATTTACTTTTTCAGATGAAACCTTTGAAAATACACAAGATCAAAAAATAATTGCAAATTATCTGGGGAAAACTTGCGGTCTACTTGCTATTAATATAAATTAATTATAAACTCGTTAAGTAAGCAAACTGTAAAATTTTATCGTTATATTCTATGAAACGTTTATATACTTCCTTTGTGAGTCCATAAAGGACCTATCATATTGGTTTATGGACTTTATGGTCATTATAGTTTGTTAGGAACATCAACGATGATTTATTACAGGATGAGAACGATATAATTCAGTGGAATGTAACAATTAATTATTAACACAAAAAAGAAAACATAATATATATAACATCATCCAATTTAATAACTAATTCAAAAAAAAAATCAATACGTAATCTGTTACTGTAATTTGAATTTTGTTACCTCAATTCCCATTCAATATTCATTGAACATCCAAATTGGAATTTATTTTATTTAAAATGTAGTCGAAACGTAATCTATTTCACTAATAAATTTACATTGTTGACATACATTTTTACGAATCAAAATCAATTAGATAAATTTGAACATGGCGTAGAAAATTTAGTTAAAAAAAAAATAAAACAAATAAAAATAAAGCTAATCACAATGTGAACTTAATAAACCGACGAAAGCTTTACGATCCTACGAGGGGGGTGGTTTTACGACCTCGCTTAGTTCGATGGAGAAATTTTCTTGGTCGTTGAAGGAAAGGCGTAAAAGGTGAACAAACACTGTAAAGCGAAATTTTTCGCGTAGGAGTAAACTTAAGTTTATGTTATGTACCTTTTTACGTGCCTTAATGTTTTACTCGGCCATTTCTAATATTGATTATTTTAAACGGCACGAAAGGTCGTCCGAGTTAATTTCGATTTAATTTTTTACCGTTACCATGTTAATTTCATTTAATTTCATTGCGTTGTGTTAGATTCGTTTATTTAAATAAATAACTCAATTTAAAAACTGGAATTGAGCAAATATTACGTTGAAATTGCGTTCTTTTTGGGTGGCCCTTTTTCATTTCGTTAATGGAAAACGGGGAAAAGGGACTATACCACCGGGTCTAATCGCGTAGGACCGAATGAAAGCGTTCACAGCCGTGCAGATTTCGGCAAATTTCCCGGAGCGTTTAAAAACCTTTTAGTAGGAAAATCGCTTCGATGACGACAGTTCCCTTCCAAACGCATTTATTCAAAGTTACAACCCAAACCTTCATTAATCCTGGCTTGGTATTTGAGGGGAGAGTAAATGTGATAAGTTTTTGATTTTTCTCGTTTAATCAATCGTCGATTCCTATAATCGAAA